AGATTGCTTGTTACTAGAGCTTATCTCAGTAACGCTAGCAAAGCAAGGAGATAATGCCCTGCCAGCCCTCCTGTCCCCAAATCTCCACAAGATGGTCGGAGAGCATCTCCAGTTGTCTCCTCCGCTGGTGCCCCATGGCTCACCAGTTTTTGTCACACTGGATCACGATGGAGGTAAAGGAAGGTTTTACTGATGGGCAGGTGGGTTTCAGAAGAGCAGCCTCCTGTGGGAGGAGCAGAGTTTGTAACTTACTGTGATCATTTATTTCCCTGTGCATACAGGGGTGGGACCTCAGAGAAGCAGCCTGCAAAACTCCAGACCTCTCTCTTGGTTGCATCCAGTGTCCTTTCAAGTCCATTGAGTTTTGTCCTCATCCTTTGTTCCTCTCAAGAAGATGAGGTTTCACCCTTCAAATCACTTAGGTTTTGTAAACTGGAGTGCTCTCGGCTTTCTTTAGGCTGATAGGGTGTGGATTCTGCTGTCTCTGGGAGGGATGTCTCAGGGTGCCATCGCCTCCTTCCATCTTCCACAAGGGGCTCATCTGAGAAGCAAGTGCACCTCTCCATGGGGACCGTTGCTTTTTCTCAGAGACAACCCAGCACAGCCTTGTTTGAGAAAAGGACATTTTTCTTTGTAGGAAGTTTTGACCTCGTTGCTTTACCAGTGATTCTTGTCATTAATATGTGGGGCATTTAGCTCTTGTCTGGGCCTGGGTTAGCTCACAAAGGCCACCAACTGAGCTATAAATAGCTGATTTTTTTCAACTCAGAGGAAGTGACAGCCCCTCCTTTAGGGGAGGATGATTCCCAAGTTATTTCCATACTCCTCCCAGAATTATATGTACACACACACACACACACACACACACACACACACACACACACACCCCTAGAAGGTGGATAAATCTATTCCTGAGCACAGCACACCAGGCACATTCCCACCTCAGCCTTTGCCTTTGCTGCTTCCTCTGCCTAGAACACGCTTCCCCAGATCTCTGCCTGGCTTGCTTCTGTCTTCCCTTCAGGCTTGTTGCTCAGATGTCATCTTCTCAGGGAGGTATTCCTTGACTATCTTACAAAATTGCGTTCCCCACCTCCCAGCATCTTCTCTCCTTTCCCTGCTTTATATAACTTTGCAGCGCTTATCGCCTTCCGACATGCTATCGACTTTATTTATTTGTTAGTGTATTGCCAGTTTCCCTTAAACAACATATAAGCTCCAAGAAACACTAGTTGTGGCACATGGGCTTAGCTGCTCCACGGCATGTGGGATCTTCCTGGACCAGGGCTTGAACCCATGTCCCCTGCATTGGCAGGCAGATCTTAACTACTGCGCCACCAGGGAAGCCCCTGGATGCTTGTTGAATGAATTAATGATCTCCTTTTACAGATAAAGAAGCAAAGTCTCAGAGGGGGTGGTGAGATTCAGAGCTAGCAAGTGTCAAGGAAGATTTTAAACCCAGGAATTTCCGCTTCAAAGCATGTTTATTTTCTGCTCTGACATCAGATTTCAGGCATGTGCAGTGTGGCCCTGGAGCTGTTATATGGGACATGCAGCCACGAGAAGAATATTTGCTGTCCCACGTCAGGCATCAACGGGCTGACTGCTCCAGGGGCCGTGCATGCTTCTGTCTGCAGTGCTTCTGTTCTACCCACGGAGACATTTACCGTGTCATCTGTGGTCTTCTAAATTGCTTCACTTTTCTGTGGATCAAACACCTTGAGCTGCCTATCTGCAAACATTGCCTTTGAGGTTTTCAAGCCATGCTGAAATCCCGTCATGCTTGACGGGACTCTGGTCGGGTGTTGCATGACCCCGTTGGCAACCTCACAAGTCTCTTCAGCATGCCGTCTGTGCCTTCCTTTCCCAGGCGGCTTGCCTTAGAGGAGGGGACCTGTGATTAGCCGCTCACGTTTTGCTGATCGGGGTTGGAACTGCCACATTCACCTCACTTCGAATCATAAATGCTTTTGGCGGAAGGGATCAAGTCTTGCCTTAAATCAGTGGGGTCTTTAAATAATGCTGATACCTGCGTCCACCCCCCAGAGATTCTGATTCAGTTGGTCTGTGCAGCCAAGGCAGGGAATGCTGGTTAGGTTGGCTGTGGAGCGTCTTTCTGAGAGGAGAGGTAAAGAATACAACGTGACTGAAAGCAGAAGCATTTCCGAAAAGTCACATCTCATCCTCCAATTCTTACTTCCTCGTGTGACAGCCTACTAGGACCTGGAGACCTTGGCCTCCTTAATTTCACTGCAGAATTCTGATATATCTGTTTTCCTAGATGGCTTTCTTACTACAAACAATGGCAGCACTGGTGAATATGAGGTTCTCTCCTTTGACCGCATGCGCCTCAGTTTTCTCATCAGTAAAATAGGCATCATAATAATAACACTGACATTATAGGTTCAAGACTTAAATGAACTAATGTACATAAGTTAGTAGTTAAGTGTCTGGCACACAGGCATGTATGGGGCAGCTACCATTGTTGTTATTAAGCATCTTACTTATAAAATGCCTTATCCAAAGTCCGTTGTTACAGTAATTGGTATCAGCTCCGACATAACCTTTCAACTAGATCTTGCATGACTCTTCAAGGGCCTTTGCCATGTCTCTGGCACACTCCAAAGGTGTACACAGGAAGTCTCATCCCATGTCTCTTTAAAACTGAACAACATTATCACAAATTTCGGGTTCGCTGCAGAGAATTTCCTGCTTGGGCACCATCCAGTCTCACTTGCTTTTGGACCAGCTTTCTGGGCCTGGTACCATAGTGGTATCTATTCCAGGGGTGGCTGTGATCACACCTGCCACACTCAGGACCCCCAGGCCAATTCTGTGGCCCAGCTTTGTACCCTAAACTCTGGAGCGTGGCTCTACTGGTCCAAGGCTCAGTTTTCTTCTCTCCTTGCTGCAGGCCCAGAAGTGGCTGTGGACAGATGCCACCCGGCCTGTGGAAGTGACCATGGGGGAGGGCAGCAGGAAAGTGAGTGGAGGGGACCAGCATTGGAAGGTCCTGTGTGTGGAGAGCCCAGGGATTGTGGGCTGGTACAGCCAAACTATTTTGTCCAATCGCACATACAAGGATCTCCTGGAACTGGACTCGGGAAATTAGCTGTGGGAGCCTGGGATGCTGGACCCAGACCAGGGTGCAGCATCCATATCTGCCCATGGGCTTCAGTGGGTGAAACAAGGGCGCCCACCTCAGGGTGAGACCACAGCCAAAGTAAGGCATGTAGTGCAATAGTTGTTCCCATCTGGAGAGAATGACCAAGTGACCCGTGTCTGTGGGCTAGACAGACTAGGTGATCCAGATACCACTTCAGCCTCCTGAAACTGCTGGCTGGGAGTGGGGCAGACTAAACATTGGGTTGGCCAAAAAGTTTGTTTGGGATTTTCCATAACTTCTTATGGAAAAATCCAAAGGAACTTTTGGGCCAACCCAGTATTTAACAAGAGTAGCCATGTAGTGTGATAAATTTCATTCCAGGGCCAAATAGATGGCTGTGGGCATGAGTCACAGGAGACCCAACCTCGTATGGGACTCCCAGTGGCAGCCACTTCCCTCATCTGGGGCTGAAGGCTGTCAGGCCACAAATGTTTGCTTCATGACCACCCCATTCTGCACATGAGGGAAGTGAGGACACCATGCTTGTCTTGTGGGGCGTCTTGTGGGGCCTTGTGGGGCTGTCCTGGCCCAGCACCCCTGAGAGGAGGGATTAGGTCATCTTGTTTACCACTGTGTCTCTACCGCACAGGAAATTACGTGGCCTTAGCAGATGCTTTATAATTATTTGTTGAGTAAATGGATGAATGCATGAACTAATGAATGAATCTCAACACAGCACAATGATGGGAAATCCAAGCAGGTGGTGCTCAGAAGTCCATCTGGCAGGTAGCTGGGCACAGTGTTGTAAATAAGGCAAAGCCAAGACACCAGCACTCAAAGTTACTGGGATGGGAGTTTGCGTCAGGGACCAAGATGGGCACAGAGAGTGGGTGTCATGAGTCTCTGTGAATCATGGCCCAGGAGCTGGGCAGGTTTGGGTGTGTGGTTCGGGAATCAGTGGGCCCAGCATCTGGGAACGGCTGCCAGTGGAGGCAGGGCTGACACAGTAAGGAAAAGACATGTGGTCCATTCAAGAGAGAGCCAGTTAGTGAGGAAATTGTTCTGGAAGTGTAATATTTCTGAGGTGGATGCAGAATCCACAGACTTTAACTGTACATCATGTCATGTTTTCAAACACATTTTTCTGTGTCGACAATTTCACTTATTCTGCGATTGTGCCTGATTCAAGAGCCATAATTCCTGCTGATAAGACTGGAGCCATGTCATTTGGGTTCCCAAGTTGGGTTTGCGGATTGCAGCTAAACAGCCATCTCTTCATTTAGGGGAGCTGCAATTGGAAGATGCATCATCCATGTGGCCATGGTGACAGATGAGAAACCCCAGGTCTGGCAGGGTCCCCCCGAAGCAGAGCTGGCTATGCACCTGGCAGGCCCTGTCCATTCTTAATGATGTTATCATCTCATATGTGGCCTTCTGCTTTGGAGACTGGTGGGTGCTTGAGGCAGCTCGTGTGCTGGGAGGGCAGAGAGAGTCCAAGATTGGAGGGTCATGTCTAGTACCAAGGACAGCTGCCTCCAAGGCTCCCCAAGCCATAGTTTACAAGGACCAGCAAAATGCAGAGACCCTCAGATGCCATGAAACCCAAGCTGACCTCCCAGGGCCCTTGGATATCTGCGTGAGGCAAGGCACCTGCAGGTATAGGGCGCCTGGTTGAGTCAGGCTTCGTGAGGTCTCAAGAGGAGACATGCACGGACAAGATGCATGATGGGGGTTATTACAGGTGTACAGGGAGTGTGGAGTAGCTCAGATATCTCCTCAACTGACATACACATTCCCTGTGTCTGGAGTTTCTGGGATTGGACCAAGATGCCAGATTCTTAGAGAACCCGCAGTTCAGTATCTAGGGCTGAGGATCTGTTTTTTTTGGTGATAGGATGTTGAATGGGACTTCATCTGTTTTCTTGGAATTGGAAGTAAAACCCAGAGTTGAAATCAATAGGTGCTATGTGTTCCCACGTTTCCAGACGAGACCACCTGATGCGTCCCCGTGAGGGCACCATTCACACACTACTGGGCTACAAAAGCAGGAGGTAAGTGGTCTTTGAGGCTGTGAAGGGTTAACACAGGGGCAGAGTGCTGCAGCTTCCCCTTTCCCTTGTCTGGGGGGTGGCCGGGGACAAGGGGTGGTCTATACGCTCCCTCCAGCCCAGTAAATGGGACTCCGAAGAAGTGGCAGGGTCCTAGAAAAAGGGCGACTGCCATCTCACCCCGAGCATTTAGTTCTTCCTGAAATGGCAATTCTCAGCATGTCACAGAGACACTGGTTAACTCAGTAGGGTAATGGATGGGGTGTATGAGCTCAAAGTTACGGTTAAAATTTTATGAAGATCATTAGCTTTGTATGAGCAAACCATAGCTGTTATTGGTGTATTTTGATGAGTAATACATATACACACACATACATACACACACAAATACACACACACACTTTTTTCTTTATTATTTTTTTTAAGTACATTTATTTATTTATTTTTGGCTGCGTTGGGTCTTCGTTGCTGCGCGCAGGCTTTTTCTAGCTGTGGTGAGTGGGGGCTGCTCTTCGTTGCGGTGCGCGGCCTTCTCCCTGTGGTGGCTTCTCTTGTTGCAGAGCACGGGCTCTAGGCATGCAGACTTCAGTAGTTGCGGCACGCAGGCTTAGTAGTTGTGGCGCACGGGCTTAGTTGCTCTGCAGCATGTGGGATCTTCCCGGACCAGGGATCGAACCCGTGTCCCCTGCATTGTCAGGAGGATTCTTAACCACTGCGCCACCAGGGAAGCCCCCATACATTTTTTCTTTAGATGATTAACCCGTGAGGCAGAACCTGTATTTTATTCTCCCCACGCAACCCCCTTAGCCTGCTTGTGTTGAATGCTTAGAAACAATGTCTCAAAGAGACTCAGCAAACCAGCTCTAACTGACCTTCCAGTGGCTCAAAGTGACAGAGGTTCCTGTGCTCTATTGCAAAGCAGGAGAGAGTGCCCCTCTTCTTCCTGTGCTGAGCGGTGTTAGCAGCCAACCTCAAGAGAGCACGCGGTGGAATAGAAACTTCTGGCCTCACTTCAAGGCTCCGCTGTTCCATCCCAGCCACCCTTCCACAGGGCGTGCACCTGCACTTCCGGGAGAGCTGAACCGGGGGACACTTCTGACTGGCGGACACCAGGCTGTCCTCAGAATGGCCCCGTGGCCTGCTGACTAAGGTTTGTTTTCTTTCTTTTTTAATTTGTGTTGAGTTATAATTTACATACCATACAATTCACTTGCTTTACTTGCACAATTCAGTGACTTTCGGTATCTTTACAGAGTTGTGTATCACCACAGGTATAGGTTTGGCCGTGCGGCATGTGGGATCTTAGTTCCCCCACCAGGGATGGTACCTGGGCCCCCTGCAGTGGAAGTGTGGAGTCAACCTCTGGACCGCCAGGGAAGTCCCAGGCTTTCTTACCGAATCCTAGGTGCTGGGACTCCTCTTCCCTTAGGATTAGTTTTCTGCCAGGAATCTCCTCAGTATTTCATGTAAACAGCCTTTTGCGTGCCTGGCCCCCCAATCCAATAGATGGAACCTTAGGAATAATAGCAGTTAATGTTTACTGACTACTTACTACATTCGAGGTACTGTGTTAAGCACTTTACATACTTTAATTGATTGAATTCTCAAAATAACCTTGTTAGTCAAGATTCTCTTGATTGCAAGTCACAGAAACTCCAACTAAAACCAGCTTAAACATTACAGGCAACGTATTGACTTATGTAACTGAAAACTCCAGTCACAAGCATATGCCAAAATTAAACAAACAAAACAGTGACATGGTTCCTCTGGATGGATCTTGGATACTTTTTCTTTTCCTTTTTCAGTTGTAAAATTTGTATTTGTTTATACTAGACATTGATTATTTTATAATCAGAGAAACTTTATTTAAAAGGGTCTTAGGGCTTCCCTGGTGGCGCTGTGGTTGAGAGTCCGCCTGCTGATGCAGGGGACACGGGTTCGTGCCCCGGTCCGGGAAGATCCCACATGCCGCGGAGCGGCTGGGCCCCTGAGCCATGGCCGCTGAGCCTGCGCATCCGGAGCCTGTTGCTCCGCAACGGGAGAGGCCGCGACAGTGAGAGGCCCGCGTACCGCAAAAACAAAAACAAACAAAAAACAAACAAAAAAGAGTCTTATATAGTATTCTCCCGCATTGTTTTGTATATTATAATCAACTGGGACTCTTGTTTTCTGGACTGTGATCTCCTCAAGGGCAGAGACTTCTTCTTACGTGTCTTTGTAGCCTTTTCCTTGCCTTTTAAATTTGTGCTCAGGGATATGTGTAAAGTGGATTGAACTCACGTGTCTCATAGGGAAGCTTTTTGCAGTTTCGATTCTTCCAGAAGGCAGATGATAATAAGAAAGTAGTTTACACTTGATCCAACACATGATTTCTCAGGACAAACCATGTAACTTCAAATTGGAGTTAATAATCCCAGGTTACTGTGAAGCTCAAATGAGTTAGAGCCCCGTGTGAGCTATAAAACTGTGCACCTAGCAGTTGGTAGTGACTTGGGTTTATGGAGCCCTCTCCTTCCGAAGCCTCTATCCAAGGTGAATCATGTCTATTTCTAAATTTTCTAAGAACCATCATTATCTCTTGATGAAAAGAAATGGTGGGAGAGAGAGAGAAGCTGAGAACATCAATTTAGGACACATGATTAATCCCCTGCCGTGAGCACACCCCACACCCACATATCCTACCGTCAGATTGTCAGATTCTCCTGCCATATCATTCTGGAGAGCTTGAAGGGCCGTCAAGCTCAGGTTTAAGACTGAGTTCAGATCTTGCTTCCCAAATGGGTCCTCATGATGTGTTCTCATCCCAGGGAGTGGCGCCCCTTCTACCCTCAACTCCTCTCTTCCTCACGTTCCATATTCAAGCCACTGCTGTTATCCATCTACTTTACCTGTTCCATGTCTCTGGAATTTCTTCTTCTCTCCATCTTCACTGCCATGACCCTGGTCCAAGCTACCGTCATCCCTACCTCCTCCTTGATCTACCTGGGGAAGGGTATGCCTCCCTCTAATCAAACACAACTCTGATCATGTCACCTCCCCGCTTAAAACTTTTCAGTGGCTTCCCTCACCCTGAGGATAAAGGCTCCATCCTTAGCAAAGCTTATGAAGGCCCTCATGGTAGGGTACCACCTACTCCACCCTCATATTTTGCCTTTCGTTCTTTCTGCCTCTCCTACATGAGCTGTCTACAGGCCCCCTTGCCTGCCTCTCCATGTACTCGTCCCCAGGATGGAAGGACATGCCTGTATCTTCCAGTTAACGCTTCTCAACACAGCTCAGCTCAGATGTCACTTCCTCAGCATCTGTCTCTCATTTCGCTGACTAGTTTCATCTGCCTTTTATAGTGTCAGAATTCTATGTGTCTCTTTCTTAGTACTTCCTACAGTTCAATTTTACATTATTTGTTTAATTATGTGATTAATATGTCTTTTCAACTCGTCTGTAAGCTCTGTGACGGTAGTGACTGTGTCTCTTTTCATTCACTGTTGTGTCCCCAGCACACAGCACCCAGCAGACGATTGATACATAGGTGTTGAATAAATACACGCATGCATGTCAGGTACTGTGCCAGGAGTGAGGGATACAAAGACAGATCAAGTGATGCTGCTGCAAGGTTCTCACAGCCTAGTAGGAGGGACAGAGCAGGTAGACTGATGATTTCAAGGGATCTGTGGAGACCCTCCAAAGAATTGTTTGATGGGGATAAAATGCACATAGAAAGGAATATAAACAGGCCCAGTCACACCAATGTCAAAAAAAATAACTTGTATACACACACACACAGAGTATATCATAGCTATATGAAAAATAACAACACTGCTCCTGGAGTCTGAAGACCTAGATACGAATCTGAACTTTTTCTCTTTCACTTAATAGCTCTGAGACCTTGTGCAAGTTATTGATGCCATCTGAACCTCTTCCTTTTCTCATCTGTAAAATGGGTGCTTAATATTGACCTCATGGACTACTCTGAGACTTAACTAGATATATGTCAAAGTGTGTAGAATGTAAATGCACATCATGAATGTTTGATTGTTGAATTTCTTTTACTTCTGATCACATTGAACCCTGATGATCTACCATCCCACCTAAGACAATTTTTCAGATGGTGAGTGCCCCGCAGGAGACACCTGGCCTTCTGCCCTTTTGCTCTGTGCCTGCACAGAGGGATCTAGAAAACATAGCCAGCTGAGTACATGACTCTACAAACACTCGTGACCCCTGGAGATGAGGTGGAGGTCTTTTTGAGTTTGCCCATTCGGTGGAGTTTGGACACCCTGTTCTTGTTTTCCCCAGTTTGGCCAATCTACCCAAGTTTGAAGCAGAGGAAAGAAGTTTCTTCCCCGCCTCTGCCCTTGTCCTTCCTGGTGGTTTTCCTTGAACCATTAATCACTAAGCTACATTCTGAGCCTCCCTGACTGTGGTTCCTGCGTGTGGGCACTAGGCCTCCAGGGCCACAGGTCCAGAGCTCCAAGCATCCCGCCCTCTGCTCACCCCTCCCCTCAGCCCGCCTTTCCCCAGGGCCCCACCTGCCTATGTTGCTGTTAACACGGAAGGACAAATGCGGTCCTATATTTCAGAGTCATCTGGCAGATCTGATTAATTTTGGAAATGAACAATGTGAAGATTCATCACAAACTTTCAGGTATGAGCAGCCATAAACAGAACCAGAGCATGGAGCACTATTTATTTATTAAAACAGTAAATTGAAGGGAAATGGGCTATTTATTTTGCACGATGTCTTCCATAGAAGTAATTGGCTCATTAATCACACTCTCACCGTGGTCACGTTTGGAAGGTCAGGCTCACAGGGAAATGAAATGGGGTGGTGTTTATAGCCCTGGCAGTGTGTGGAGCCCCATGAGGCTGTCTCCTGAGGGCCCTGGTGTGTTCTGGGGATATTCTGTATCACACGAAGGCAGGTAGCTGGGAGGTGGTATGGCATAGTGGTTAGGGCCACAGACTGGCAACAGGGGGCCTGGGTTCAAATTCTGGCTACTACATTTGCTAGCTGTATGACCTTGGGCAAGCTGTTTAACCTCTATGCCTTGGTTTCTTCACCTACAAAATGATGCTAGGAATGGTACCTACCTTGTAGGGTACCATGAGTTTAAGTGCTTTGGCAAAGCACTACTGCAGGTAGGTCAGGTTTGGTGCAGCTATGGGTGTTAGTTGTATTTACTCCTTTGGTCCAGGCAGAGCCTCAGGGTGGGGTACTCTGGAATGAGTGGAGCTTGGAGCATAAGGTTACTGTGGGGTTCCCACAGCCCCAAGGGAAGCAGAATCGTGTAGGTGAGGCTAAGAGGACAGGCTCTGCAGTCAGCCTCCTTGGGTTCAAATCTAGCCTCTAACTCTTGCTAGTTATATGTCCTTACAGAATGATTTGACCTCTCTGTGCCTCAGTTTTCTTAACTTTAAAATGGGCATGATAACAGTGCTGCTTGATTGGGTTATAACGGATATGAAATGAGAAAATAAATGGGAAGTACTTACCTCAGTGCCTGGCCATAGAAGTAATCAAGTTTTTTTGTTATTATAATCATTTTTAGGACTTCCTGGCCTGTGATTTTCCCCAAGACACTGAGCATGGTCCATGTGAGCACAGCCGGTGAGACACGCACTGAGCTTCAGCCCCCTTCCCTGGCAGGGATGGGGAGGTGGTCAGACCCCCAAGCGGGGAGGGCTGAGGAAAGTGTGCCCACAGCAAAGGCTGGTGCCACAGTGCAGCTGGGGGGTCCATGCGGTTTGGGCAGGTGACGGAGTGACCAGGGATTTGGGTTTCTGAGGCAGGGCACGGCACTGGTGAGTAGGTGGTCTCTGGGCACTAGCACCCCAGACAATGAGGGCCTCCAGAGCACCAACCCAGTGGGCTGGGGTTCACGGAGAGACTCAGTCCCAGCTGGGAGTGGGACTTCTGGAGCAGCACAGGGGAGTGGGGGGTGGAAAGGCAGGATGGAAAGGTTGAATATGTAACATACGTGCACGCTTCCCCTCTCTCCGGTCCTCCACCCTGGTGCTCTCGCTTATGGAAGCCAGAGCCTCAGAATCTTTCCTAACACATCTCTTCAGGCAGCCATGACAACCAGACACACTCCCATGGACCGGATCTGTTTGCTAGCCCAGCACTACGAGGTCAAAGGCCCATGTAGGCTCTTGCAGCGCATTGATTGAGACCTACTCCAGGCCCCCACATGCTGGTAGGAGGGACTGAGGCTACGGGAGGAGGCCTGAGTCTTGATGACCCTAGAGGAATGGACAGGAGGAACCAAGGCTGATGACATCCTCCAGGGACTCCAGCCGTGGGTGAGGGGCCCTCTCTCCTTCTCCTCTCTCTCTCACATCGATGAAAGGAATCATGAAATGGGAAAGCGCGAGGTATGGTTCATTTCAGCGAGGAGGCACTCGGAGACCGGGACAGGGCGGGAGCAGTGGGGCGATGGGAGAGGCAGACGGCAGGGCGTCCAGACCAGGGCAGGGCTGAGGCGAGTGCTGGTTACTCCCACTCCCCGCTCCCCTCCGCCGGCTCTGAGCATCGGTGGCTCCTCGGCCCCGACCTCCCGTTGGGTTTGACCACAGGGAGGCTTCGGCAGAACATCTGACAGCCGGAGGAAGGAGAAGTGGAGATGTTCATCCCTGCCCCCTGAAGGCTCCCTCCCTGCTGCGCTGTTGGTTCCGTGTGGGGGGGGGGTCCCTCCCTTTGGCTGAGGATCTTGTAGGGGAGCCCACTTCCGTGGCTGCAGTCAGCGAGCTTGGGAAGCGTCCCTCCCTCTGTAGGAGTGGGAACTTCTGGTCCTGCTGTCTTGGTGCTTCACCCCACCCGGCGCACACCGCTGAAGAGCTGCCGTTGCCCTCCTTAAACTCTCTTCAGTTAGCCCCACCCCCACCCCACTTACCTGAGGGCGCCATCTGTTTCCTGACGAGGTCCTGACTCACACAAAGTACAGAAGGGCCTCTTTACCCTAGTAGGAGAAGGGGTCAGGTTATACCAGGGCTATTTCCATGGCCAGGAAGTGCAGATGGACCAGGTACGAGGAGATCATCTTAGGGGACTAGAAAGTATTGGGGAAAATAACCTCCATGCCTCTCCTTGCTTTGGGGATCACTTCCTTAGAGTGGCCCTTTAGTAGTTCAATCCCTTTTGGAAATCCTGGTGCGCCTCACCAAGGAGCCCAGGGATGGGATTTGAGTGCATCCTTCGGACAGAGCACAAAGGGAGGACAGCGCCCCCTAGGGGCTATTGCGAGGGTGGCAGCAGAAGGAGCTGGAAGGTCCCCTAGAAGAGGAAGGGACGGGGGGGGGGGGGGGGGGGGCTGAAAAGGGACCAGAATTTAGGCCACTGTTCCCTCCCTCACCAGGAGCAGCTCCTCCTGGGAGAAGGTTCTGTGCCATGGGCCGGATTCTGGATATTGCCCACAAAAATGCTGTCAGAAGCAGGATCTGCTGTATGATTTGCTGGGTCCGGTACAAAAAAATATAGAAGCCCTTGTTCAGAAATCATGAGGAATTTCAAGACAATGACACCAGAGCATTAAACTAAACTTGGGTTGGAGGTGGAGGGGGAAACTCTGAACTCGGGGTCCCATGCCATACCCCCATGAAGCCACTGGCCACAGGTTCTCCCTGTGGGGACCATGGGTGGGACCATGGGTGGGCCCCTGCCTTGGAAAGCGACAGGGAGGTTGAACAGAGAGAAGAGGCACTATGTGGTGACAGTCTTTACAGTCTGGCTCCCAGGTGTGGCCACACTGTGTAATTTGAAGAAATATCCACCTTGGGCCTAATGCCTCCCTTTGCCCTTTCTAGCCCATCAGTTAGCAAAGCACCAAGGAAAGACACGGTTCCTGTCTGTGGATGGAGAGAGATGGGCCGAGGCCAGAGCCGGGCGGCAGGACTGGGTGCCTCGTGGGATCAGGAGCTAGAGGTACACCCACCACGTTCCCCTCCCTCCTCTTGGGCGCTGAAGGCGGGAGAAGGAACACGGCTGAGCACAGTTTTGGGTGTCTGTGTCCCGTGTTTTTTTCCTGGTTTAGACTGTCATGATCATGAAGAAAGAAAACAGATATAGACTCTTAAGGCCACATAATCTCTGTCTTGCCTCAGAACTCCCTTGGATCTCTTGCCTGTAATTGGAAAGAAATGGTGAGACGAAAAGGGCTCTGATTTCCAATAGCCTCTGCTTCACAAGGATCATATTAAATACCATTAAATGATGGCAGCCTTGTTCCTATAAAACAACTTTTGGAGAGTGGGCAGAAATAACTTTCCTCTTTGGGGTCAGTGCATATGCATGTGAGTGTGTGTGTGTGTGTGTGTGTGACATACTGCACGCGTGTGCACACGGGTGTGTGCGGGGCTATGTAAGCCTGTGCCTCTCTGTACACAGAAGGTGCAAACGCATGCCCATTTTTTACTTGTGTACACAGCAGTGGTAGGGATTGTGAATGTGTTCACACACACGTGAGGGTCTGTGCATGAGCAGATTCTGGTGTCTAAAATCTTTACATCCTGCTTTGGTCAGTCTTGTTTGTTGCAAAGAGCAGGGGAAGGAACCAGCAGCATGTGTGCAGATTGCGTCTGGGGTGAGGGGGGCTGTCTGTTGTCTCCATCTGTGTCATGGCCACATTAGATAGAGCTCCTGCATGGTGGGTCCACTGCCTCTGTTCACCAGCACCTTTTTCTCCTCTTCTCGCCCTGGTTTCCCCCTCTTGACCTCAGCACACACAGACCCTGGCTTGCTTGGCCCTCTGGGGCTCATCTCTATGTACGGCAATGGCTCCTGGCCTTCTTCACCAGCTGGCTGATCCTTTCCATGTGCCATGGTGCCAGTTTGCAGGCAGAATGTAATTGGCCCAGCTCAGCTTCTTGTGTTGTCATCAATTGCTGACCAGCCTCTGGACACCTGCCCTCAGGTCAGGTTAGATCGGCTATGGAGGGGGGAAGCATGGGGTATAAGAGGGGTCACTGCTGGGGCTGGGGCTGGGACAGTTTTCCTTAAGGATGTGGACACAGAGGGCCATGATGAACATCCCAGGTCCTTATGCAGAGTCCCCGTCACCAGCTCAGGGCCCACCCCTCTCCCAGCGGAGGCCGGGACAGCTGGGACTGCCCCACAGGCAGGACTTGCCGGGCAAGGTGGGCGTGAGTGGAGGCAGCCTTTTGGGACCTGGGGTCTGCTCATCTCCCTCCTCTGCTCTCCTGTTATGGGTTGAATTGTGCCCCCCCACACACTCATATGTTGAAGTCCTGACCTCCCATACCTCAGAATTGACCTTGTTTGGAGATGGGGTCTTTACAGAGGTCCTGAAGCTAAAATAAGGTCATTAGGATGGGCCCTAATGCAATATGACTGGTATCCTTATAAGAAGGAGAAATTTGGAAACAAGACACACACAGAAGGAAGAGGATGGGAAGAGACACAGAGAGAAGACAGTTATTTACCAGGTAAGGAGAGAGGCCTGGCACACGACCTTCCCTCACAGCCCTCAGGGGAACCAACCTTACCAACACCTTGATCTTGGACTTCTGGGCTCCAGGACTGTGCGACAACACACTTCTGTTGTTTAAGTCACCCAGTCTATGGTCCTTTGTTGTCAGAGCTCTAGCAAACTAATATCACCCCCAAGAAAAACTTCCTGGAAAGAAGGAAAGAAGCCACAGGATACCAACATCCCTAGGGGGTAGACTGGGGCTATAGACGTCCAGTGGGAGGGACAGCCGGGAAGCCAGGCCTCGTTGCACCCATGCCCCCCACCCCCCGCGTCTAAGGCCCCTGACCCGGGTTCTTCTGACACTTGGCCTCTGGACTCAGCACAGGAGGAAGCTCTGAGGCTGGTGCCTGAGTTTGACGTTTACCATCTCTGATGAGACCCACTGAAGGCTTTCGGTCAGAAAAACTCTGATGATGTTTGCATCTGAGAAAGACCCCTTGAGAATTGCAGTGAGCAGGACAGGTGAGGTGGGAGAGGGGAGACGGGAGGAGGGGAGGCAGGTCCTTGTGAGCAATGAAGAGGCCTGGGGAGGGGATTCCAGAGCTGTTTAGGGGGTATCACTGTCATGATGTACTGACAAGATATGGGGGTGAGGGGTGGGGGGGTTAGAGACGAGAGGAGGACTCTGGCCTGAGCACCTGCAGGCGGGTGGTGCTGGTCACCAGGGTGGGCCTGGGAGGATGAGAGACAGGTCTGTTCTCTGCACATCAGATCAGCACTGTCCAAAGGACAGCGACCCAGCTGCCCAGGGCCCGTCAGCAGAGGGAGACTGGGCCTGGGGCGCAGAGGAGAGGTCCGGGCAGAGACGTAGGTTTTGAGTATCACTGTCCAAGTGGCACTGTGTCATGGCTGGGGGCCCTTGTACAGGAGGACTGGGTGTGAGCTGCTTCTCCCAGGAGCAGGGCTAGAGACTAGTGTTCAGGAGGTGATTGGGTCGAGCCCTGAGAGGGAGGGGGGGCGATGACACGGGGAGGGAGGAAAGACACAGGGAGAAGACAGCCATCTACAAGCCAAGGAACGCCTGAGGCTACTAGAAGCTCAGCTCGGGGAGAGGCCTGGAAGCGATTCTCCCTTACAGCTCTCAGAAGGAGCCGACCCAGCTGACTCCCTGATTTCGGACTCCTAGCCTCCAGAACTGGGAGATGACAGTTGTTGAAGCCACCCAGTTTGTGGCACTTTGTTGCCCCAGGAAACTAATGCACCGTGATTCATGGAGGAAGAGAACGGTCTTAGAAACTGGATGGGGCAGTTGTTGTAGACAAGTGTCTGAAGCCCAGCAGATGACGCTCCAGTGGCCAACGAGCCGTCCTGGTTTCTTGGGATGGAGGACTGAGGCTGTCTTCCGGAGGCGGTAAGTGCTGCGCAGAGGCAGAGGGAACCTCCTCTCTGGAGGTGGCCCTGAGGTCGAGGCACCCTTCTTGCTGCCCTGGGCCTCCTAGAGAAAGCCAGCAGCTTGCACAACGAGCTCCCACTGTCTGCAGGGGCTTAAAGCCTCCTTTCTCAGGGATGTAGAGTAGGGAGAGCACACTGGGACACATCTTGGGCTACAAGCACTCCAAGTTCAGAGGAGCCAGGCCTGAATCTCCACCGAGCACCAAATAACTGCAAAATCCCTTTTCTTAACCAATAGTATTTTATTGTCAGTTATAAATATTTTCCATGTGTCCCCTATTTACAGTTGCAAAATAGTTTATGATATTATACCCTCACCCACCGTTCGGCCTCTTTCTATAAACTCCATGAACATTGAATGGGAAATAAAAAGCTCTTTTGGGGGCCCACCAACCTGGTTCCCCAGACTCCAAACAACCCCACACGGACAGCAGGCAATGTTGCAGCGGGTGCTACACAGTAGCAAAGGGGCGGGGTGTGAGACGACTCCCGGCGGGGTCAGGACGCCAGGCTCCTCAGGACATTGGTGATGCTCCAGTGCTGGCCCGAGCACCTCTGCAGCACCAGCTGGAAGCCAAACTCTGCGCCGCTATTCTCCTGCAGCTCCAGACAGCGCTTGGACTTGCGGTTCTGGATGGGGCCTCCCTAGGAGCCGGGGTGGAAAGTGGGGTCAGAGGGCTTGGGGGAGCCTCAGGCCTACTGGCTGGTGGGGATTACTTGTAGGTGCAGGTGTCTGGGATCCTGTGAGGCTGCGGGAGGCCTGGGGTCAGCATTCCCACGAAGCCCGAGGATCCCTGTCTCGAAGTGCTGGTCTCCTCCCTGAGACTGAACTTGTGCCTCCGTTTTCTTCACAGGCCCCTAGTTCTTTGCTAGGACAGAGGACAGAGATGTTCCGCCCCCGCTTCCATCTACCTGGCTGGGGTGTGGCATGCTGGTCTGCTCCTACAGCTCCCACCCCAGGGGCTGGGTCCTGCTCCCCATAAGCATGGGCTGGGGTCCCGTTCTGAAAATCCTAGTTCCTTGGGACCACTCCATGATTGGCCTGAATTTGAGCATCGCCAGAGGCCCAGGACCTCCTGCTTTTAGGGTCCTTGCCCCCAGCTGGACCTCTGGAGTCATCAGTGCTGGCCTCAACCAAACCCAGGCTCCTAGATACTACCTTAGGGCACTGGGCTCCCTTAGCCCTGGATATTCATGGTTTCCCTCCATGCTACTGATGTCCCAGAAGGTTCTGTAGCCATGCATACTCAGTTTATGCTCAAAGCCCCTTGAAAGAAGGGAGGTTCTGCTTCTCAAAGCAGCCCCACAGCAGCAAAGAAGAACCCCCCAATTTTTGCTTTTAGTGAGATCCTTGCAGGCCTTAGACACTCTGGGGCTACCGGTTGTCACCTGGGCATCAGCTCAGACTGTGCATCTCTGAGTTCCACCAAAGATGTGCTGCTCAACTGGGCTTTGGCCTCCCAAGCAGGCAGGTTCTTATAAGTGGGCCCCCTGTAGCTTAATGGTCCTTGAGTGTATGGCCAAACTCACCTTCTCCCCAGAGTCTACCCCTCCTGTGTTTCCCATCTCAGCAATAACCAGGCATTTCCACCGATGCCTCCGCCTTCTCCCCAGCATCTAATTAGGCACCAAGTCCTGCCAGTTCCACCTCTCTCGTGCCTTGTGCCTGTCCCTTCATCCCCATCCCATCACACCTGCCCTGATTCGGCCCACTGTCTTCTGTAACCTGGACAACGGCACCAGCCTCCTAGCTGACCCCCCCCTTTCCCCTCCAGAAGCAGGACCCTGCAGCCCACCCTCCAGCTGCCCCCCGTGCCCATCCCAGCGAAGAGCACTCTGAGAGAGGGGGGACGCACACCTCTTCTGTAAGGAAGTCATCCCCGGTCGGCCACCGCTGTCCCCATGGCGACCACTGACACCTCAAGAGAACATTGAGACTCAATTCCCACAGCTGCCTAGGAAACTGGCAGCATCTCCCGCCGCTGAGCCCTGCGACCCACCGACCCCATGCCCCAGTGGGTATCCGACAGAACGGTTTGCACCGGTTGTGAAACAGAATTTGTAAAAGCTCCAACCTGGAAACAACGCAAACAGCCATCAACAGCAGAATGGATAAACAACTTGTGGTTATTCACATAATGGGATACTACTCAGCACTAAAAATGAGCAAACTAGAGCTCTGCTCAGTAAGGAGAAATCCCACAAATACAATGTTTGTTAGCCAAAGAAGCGAAAGAGCACACACACAGGTCTACTTACATAAGCTTTCCAAACAGGCAAGATAAGACCATAGACTTGGAGTCGGGAGTCAAGCGTGGGTATCTTGGGCAGGAGGGAGTGGAAAATGATTGACAGGAGGCAAAGGGGTGCTTCTGGGGGGTTGGGAGTGTGCTATTTCCTGACCTGGGTGGTGGGTACATGGGTGTTGGCTTTGTTTTCAATTACTGAGTTATTATTGTTTAAAATTATTTTGGTACATATGTTTGCATGTTTCTATATGTGTATGGGTTATTCTTCAGCTAAAAAAATTGAAAACAGAAATCCAGCTCCCTCAGAAGGAGTGGCAGAGGGCTCAGCGTATGGATGTGTGTGTCGGGGAGCGGGGGGTGCGGTTCCTCATTTCCCATGTGTGCGACATGGCCCGGGGGACCGCAGAGCTCCTCAGAAGCGTTCGAGTGAGTAAAGCAGGGCCTCCCGCTGTGCCCCGACCCCAGCACCTCCCCCGAGGAAAACACAAGAGCAGAGACACAGCACAGCAAAGGCAGCTCACCTGGGGCCCACAGGTGCAGCCAGAGAGAAGCCTGCAGGCTCAGGCCCAGAGGGGACAGAGGGACGACTGGCCACTGGGCAAGGGCTCACAAAGGCCCCCCATGTTGGAAGAGACATGGGAGACTGACCCTCTCGTTCTCGCCTACCAGCTGACCGAGCCCTCCTGGCTGAGCACCCTTTCCTGGGCCGCGCCATCTTTGGAGCATTGTCCTTCACTAAAATCCTTGTCTGGGGGGCAACCAGCAAGGGGTTCCAGACTGTGCCCTCGGGTTTCCACATGGGGGTCAGATCCTGCCTCTCCACCTCGTCCCTTCCCCTAGGGGAAGGTGAGGCCCATGGCCGCCCGGTTCCATGCTCTACCAGGCGAAACATTCCCAGTTCCTTGTGGGACAATCTGGTTTCATTTTTCCATCCTGGTTGCCCTCCTTTGGACAAACTCCAGTTGTTTTTGTGTCACTCAGAACTGACCACCACCTCATCTCCACTGGACAAGAGACTCCTTCAACATAGCCAAGGGATCTGCACTTTTGGTGGCCGCATCACGCTCCGGAACCCCGATGGGATGGCTGCGGAGGCCAGCTTCAAGTCGTCCCCTCAGAAGCTGTGGTCCTCCTTGGGTCCTCACTCTGTCCCTCTAAGCCTGGACTTTTGAGCCCAGAGGCATCCCTTGTGACGCTTGCTCTCAGCAAGGCCAGCCTGTCACTTTGCCAGGCCCAGGTTTCTGTGGCCTGAGCACTCTGCCGCCCACACCCAGGCTGGGCCGTGTCACTGGTGCTTCCTCTGTGGGCCTGGGGCCAGCCACCCCTGACCCTCCCATACCCCTGGCAGCCTGGTCGTGTGTCCTACCCTATGACGCTGGAGTAGAGTTCAGGCAGGGTGGTAATGAAACCAGCCCAGCTCTCTAACTCACAGGGTCTGCTGGTGATTCGGGTGGTGAGACAGAAAGGGGAGAGGGCTGGATGAGGATGCTTTTCTGGTTGCCGACTGTGTGGCCTGGGGCAAAGCCGCTCTGCCCTCCTGGTTCCATCGTCTCTAGGGCCAGATCGTAATTTCTGCCCTGATGACTGAGGGTTGAGCAGAAGGACTGATGGGCAACCCCTTTACCGCTACAGAACAACGAATGGCTATGAGGCTATTCACAGTGTCAGGATATCTGGACTCCAGAAAAAGTGCACAACAGGCAGAAAGGGGGGCCAGACCAGGATTCTGACTGCTCGGCGTGGCCTTGCCAACAGCGAGGCTGCTTCAACGGCCCCAGACCACTGAGGCTTGGAGAAATCTGTCCTAGACAGGGAGGCCACAGCCCCTCCTTCCCCGCCAGCCACTCGGGCACCGTGCCAAGGCCAAGAGAGAGAGGCAGGGGCAGAGATCGCTGAGAAGTATACTGTTCCTTCAGAGACTCAAATATGGCACTTTCCAAAGATGGCAGAAGAGTAAGACGTGGAGATCACCTTCCTCCCCACAGATACACCAGAAATACATCTACACGTGGAACAACTCCTACAGAACACCTACTGAATGCTGGCAGAAGACCTCAGACTTCCCAAAAGGCAAGAAACCCCCCACGTACCTGGGTAGGGCAAAAGAAAAAAGAATAAACAGAGACAAAAGGATAGGGATGGAACCTGCACCAGTGGGAGGGAGCTGTGAAGGAGGAAAGGTTTCCACACACTAGGAAGCCCCTTCGCGGGCGGAGACTGCAGGTGGCGGAGGGGGGGAGCTTCGGAGCCGCGGAGAAGAGCACAGCAACAGGGGTGTGGGGGGCAAAGCGGGGAGATTCCCGCACAGAGGATCGGTGCCGACCGGCACTCACCAGCCCGAGAGGCTTGTCTGCTCACCCGCCGGGGCGGGCGGGGCTGCGAGCTGAGGCTCGGGTTTCGGTCGGAGCGCCGGGAGAGGACTGGGGTTGGCGGCGTGAACACAGCCTGCAGGGGGTCAGTGCGCCACGGCTGGCCGGGAGGGAGTCGGGGAGAAGTCTGCACCTGCCGAAGAGG